CATTTTAAAAGGGGAGTGATTAGTAAGATAAGCATAAAGAAAAAGTACATCTGTTTACAGTACTGTTTCACATGGGAGTTGTTGAGAGATGTATCTATAGATTTAGTCCCTAAGTTTGCTCTCAAAGTGCAGCAGATTGATGCATTTAGCTTCAACATTAAGACAATAAATCTTCCCGGGGGATCATAGACCCCCCCTAGAGGAGGTTAGGTCCATCCACTAAAAAAAAGGGTCACATGGATAGGATTCTAAAATACATTTGCACACTTTTGATATCGTAACCTTTTTCCATATGTTTCTGTTTTGGAGGTCGTGCCACAACCGTGCGTGTGCGTGCATGTGCAAGTCATAGGTGCGCTCCTGCACTCATAAAAATAGTACTACACCCCTGCAGATGAGGCTTACAGACCCACACCCTCAAACCGTACATTAGAGTTAGAAAACAACACCTTAATTCAATGTAAGGGCGTCACAAACACATCTGCCACAAATAACAACGGGGCGCTGATCTTAATCTGATAGTTCGCTAGGTGTCATGGAAACAGGAACCAACAGTTTCTGTAACCATCAGCTTCTTCATGATGAGTTTCTCAGAACTGCAGTTCAGAGAAGTTAAAGACAGTATTATTTATACTTTAATATTTAATGGACTGTTCAACACAGGCAGGGACAGAGACTCTTTAGAGGCCTTCACTCACCGGGGCCCGATTGAACGTAACAACAAACCACATTGAGCTGAACACGTTTGAGTTCTTCTGTATTTGTAAGGATTTAAAACCCCTCTCCACATTCCCAGAGAGTCTCTCTCTCTCCGCTCATCAGAGGAGAGTCTGACTGTGAGTTACTGTAGCTTTGAAAGTAACAGAGAGTCTCTCTCTCCGCTCATCAGAGGAGAGTCTGACTGTGAGTTATTGTAGCTTTGAAAGCAACAGCAAGTCTCTCTCTCCGCTCATCAGAGGAGAGTCTGACTGTGAGTTACTGTAGCTTTGAAAGCAACAGCAAGTCTCTCTCTCCGCTCATCAGAGGAGAGTCTGACTGTGAGTTACTGTATCTTTGAAAGCAACAGCAAGTCTCTCTCTCTGCTCATCAGAGGAGAGTCTGACTGTGAGTTACTGTAGCTTTGAAAGCAACAGACAGAGAGTCTCTCTCTCCGCTCATCAGAGGAGAGTCTGACTGTGAGTTACTGTAGCTTTGAAAGCAACAGACAGAGAGTCTCTCTCTCCGCTCATCAGAGGAGAGTCTGACTGTGAGTTACTGTAGCTTTGAAAGCAACAGCAAGTCTCTCTCTCCGCTCATCAGAGGAGAGTCTGACTGTGAGTTACTGTAGCTTTGAAAGCAACAGCAAGTCTCTCTCTCCGCTCATCAGAGGAGAGTCTGACTGTGAGTTACTGTAGCTTTGAAAGCAACAGTAACTCAGTTATTTATTTAATTAGCTTAGCTATCGGCTTTAACTGTTAACACAATTCAATCAGAGGATTTATAAACACATCGTCTTGCTTTAAGAACAAATAGTCAAACCTGATGTTGGTAAGCTTATATACGTTATATATATAAACGGTCTTTATATGAATATGATATGTGCACAGCTACAGTGTAGTTATGACCTAATGACTAATGTGCAAGTCATGCAGGAGAAGTGAACTGTATACAAGTGAAATAGAATAAGATGATCTAAAGATAGAATGTAAAGTGAAATGCTGAACAGTGAAATAAAATGCAGCTTGTATTGTATAAATATGTGTTTGAGATTTTGCACATTTACGCCCATTTGTTCTCCTGTTGATGACCCAGGTACAATAATCTCTACTTCGCATGTGGCACAGAGAGGCGTGACGTGGCCATCAGATATTTTAGAGAGAAGTTCCACTTCCCTGTACGCTGATATAAAGAGAGGACAGCATGTATAGTGTTCAGAGAGAGAGACAGACAGAGAGGCAGAGAGACAGAGAGACAGAGAGACAAAGAGACAGAGAGACAGAGAGACAGAGAGACAGAGAGACAGAGAGACAGAGAGACAGAGAGACAGAGAGACAGAGAGACAGAGAGACAGAGAGACAGAGAGACAGAGAGACAAAGAGACAGAGAGACAGAGAGACAGAGAGACAGAGAGACAGAGAGACAGAGAGACAGACAGACAGACAGAGAGACAGAGAGACAGAGAGACAGAGAGAGAGACAGAGAGACAGAGAGACAGAGAGAGGGACAGAGAGACATACAGACAGAGAGACAGAGAGACAGACAGAGAGACAGAGAGACAGAGAGACAGAGAGACAGAGAGACAGAGAGACAGACAGACAGACAGAGAGACATACAGACAGAGAGACAGAGAGACAGAGAGAGGGACAGAGAGACATACAGACAGAGAGACAGAGAGACAGACAGAGAGACAGAGAGACAGAGAGACAGAGAGACAGAGAGACAGAGAGACAGACAGACAGACAGAGAGACAAAGAGACAGAGAGACAGAGAGACAGAGAGACAGAGAGACAGAGAGACAGAGAGACAGAGAGACAGAGAGACAGAGAGACAGAGAGACAGAGAGACAGAGAGACAGACAGACAGACAGAGAGACATACAGACAGAGAGACAGAGAGACAGAGAGACAGAGAGGCAGAGAGACAGAGAGACAGAGAGACAGAGAGACAGAGAGACAGAGAGACAGACAGACAGACAGAGAGACATACAGACAGAGAGACAGAGAGACAGAGAGACAGAGAGACAGAGAGACAGAGAGACAGAGAGACAGAGAGACAGAGAGACAGAGAGACAGAGAGACAGAGGGACAGAGAGACAGAGAGACAGAGAGACAGAGAGAGGGACAGAGAGACAGACAGAGAGACAGAGAGACAGAGAGACAGAGAGACAGAGAGACAGAGAGACAGAGAGAGGGACAGAGAGACAGATGGATCACCTGCTGCTGCTGCTGCTGCTGCTGTGGGGCTCAGGTAGGATTTTAAACTTTATTATAAACTCCAGAACAAACTGCTCAAACACGCTAACGTTTTATATTCAATGTTTCTTCTGGTAAATAAATGTTTTCTCGTCCTACATCCAATCAATGTAGACATTTGCAGATCTTGTGTTAATGTTTTAAAGTGAAATGTGATGTTCCTCAGACCTGAGTGTACATGTTGTTCTGGTCCTTTCTTTAGCTTTTGTAAAAACCTCCAACGACTAAATAATAAGTTTTCATTTCTTCAGCCATTTGATGTTTGTGTTTATTGAGATGTGAGTAGATAACATCAGCCGTGTTTCTATAAAGTACATCAGAGTGTTTTTGGGGCGGTGAAGACTGTCGTGTCAAATGATCATATCATCATTTAAAACAGGGGTGTCAAACTCAAGGCCCGGGGGCCAAATCCGGCCCGCGACTTCATTTCTGTGGCCCAGCAAGAACTCTGAAAGAATATAATAGGTTTATTATACGGTCACATGCCACTTTACAGAAGCAGGCGGCCCATAAACTACATGTCCCACAATGCATCTCGTGTTGTGACACTGAAGAGACTTGCAATGATTTTCCCTGGACTTCTGCTTTCAGACGTAGTTAATTACTAAGTTATTATCCTGTCCCATAATAATCCAATTCAGAGGCAATAATGTAATATAATACATTATTTTATATATATATTATATATTTATATATGTACATTTATATAGTTACAACCGGCCCTTTGAGTGCAACCTTAATGCTAATGTGGCCCGTGATGAAATAGAGTTTGACCCCCTGATTTAAAACATATAGTCTTATACTCTGATTGCCTTTGTCTCTGTTACATGGTATTGTTAGTCTTGTACGTGTCCCCTCTGTGGGACCTCTGAGGGTCCCTCCTTCTTGTTGCTGCAGGGACCCCAGCTCCAAAGTGACTATTGTTTAGCATCAATCTGTGAAAATGGCAGCCACCAAAAGGGAGAATAATGGTGTCCTCTGGACTTCAGCTGTGGTTGTGTATGTCCTGTGTGAGCATGATGCTGTGCAGCAAACACACACAGGCCTTCAGTGGGAACCGGACCCTTGTTTGTTCCAAAGTGAAAACACAGATGGGTTACCCCAGAGTTATGTACTACTTCCAAAACCCAGAGGTGGGAAGAAACTCAGTACATTTACTCAAGTACTGTACTTAAGTACAAACTAGAGGTACTTGTACTTTACTTGAGTATTTCCATGTTATGCTACTTTGTACTTCCACTCCACTACAGTTCAGAGGTAAATGGTGTACTTTTCCTCCACTACATGTATTTAATCCCTTTAGTTACTTCACAGATGTGGATGAATGATGTGAAATATAACCAAGTGTTAAATCAGACTTTAGTTCCACCTGGAGTAAATCCACAAGCTACCCTGCAGTATACAAAGTCATTCAAACTAGCTGCACCTTTACCAGCTTTGAGAACACTTTCATGATCAATCATTATAAAACATATCATATATATTATTCTGAAATGGACCAATCTGCACAATGACTACTTTTACTGTACTTTCACTATATTTTGATGAGAATACTTTTCTACTTTCACTTGAGGAACATTTTGAATGAAGGACTTTTACTGTAACAGAGTATTCCTACACTCTGGTACTTCTACTTTTACTCAAGTACAAGATCTGTGTACTTCTACTTTTACTCAAGTACAAGATCTGAGTACTTCTACTTTTACTCAAGTACAAGATCTGAGTACTTCTACTTTTACTCAAGTACAAGATCTGAGTACTTCTACTTTTACTCAAGCACAAGATCTGAGTACTTCTACTTTTACTCAAGTACAAGATCTGAGTACTTCTGCTTTTACTCAAGTACAAGATCTGAGTACTTCTACTTTTACTCAAGTACAAGATCTGAGTACTTCTACTTTTACTCAAGTACAAGATCTGAGTACGTCTACTTTTACTGAAGCACACGATCTGAGTACTTCTCCCATCTCTGTCAGAAACTAAGTAACTCTGCAGTTTGCCCTACTTCCTCTTTCTGTCAGCGTCAGTACTCTCACGTGTTATTAAGAAGAGAGTTCACGACGTGTTTCTGAGACGCTAGAAAACTCTGAGAACCTGACCTTCTGTTTCCTCCTCAGGGCTCCAGGCTGCAGGAGAACACACCTCAACAGGTAAGCTGCTCAATGTTCCCCTTCCCACAACACCTCTTTGCATACCAAAAAGAAACTACAAATATGGTGTCGTTTTGCATCACTGTACAAAGCTGATATAATGAGTTGTAGTTTTTAAAGATGTTACTGATTTTCTTTGCATTAAAGAATGTAAACACTGAGTTGAGAGTATAGTCCGGGGTTTTAGGTGATGGAGACACATCTATGGAATCAGCATTTCAATATCTAACCGTTAAATGACTGAACATCATTTGTCTCACTATTGTACAGCGCCCACAGTTGGTGACTCTACCCAGTTAGGCGTATTCACGTAGCTCAGGTCAAGTGCTCTTTATAGCTGCTTTCTCCACCGGTGGGCCATGTGAACAATCCTGTGTAACTGTGACGTTTTGAGGCGGTGAAATCGTGTCTTCCTGACGTCTCCCAGTGTGGACCAACGGGACATTTTCACGTCTTGCCGTGATACCGGGTTTCATGTTCTTCTTGAGCAGGGGGGGGGGGCCTTCAGGCGCTGCAGGGTTTGATCCATTATGGTGTAGTGTGTTAATAGTTTTCTTGGGTCTGTGGTCCCGGCTGCCTTGAGACCATTAATAAGTTCCTCCCGTGTAGTTCTGGGCTGATCCCTCACCTTCCTCCTGATCATCCATACCCCACGGGGCCAGATCTTGTGTGGAGCCCCAGACCGAGGGCCAGTGATGCTCATTCTGTGTTTCATCCATTTAGAAACACACACATTATTCTCATAGTGGTCTCCTCCTCACCGAGCTGCTTTCTGGTGGTCCTGCAGCCGATCCCAGCCTTGAGCAGGTCTACAATCTGGTCCCTGAGGTCCTTAGAGAGCTCTTTAGTCTGGCCCATGGTGGAGAGAATCTGATTGATAGATTCTGTGGACAGGTGTCTTTTCTACAGGTAACAAGTTGATATTAGGAGTACTTTTTTAAAAGAAGAGGACTTATGTAGCCGGTCTGTGGGAGCCTCAGTTAAATGCAAATACATTTTAATCTTTTATATAATGTCAATTTCTTTTTGATATTCTTACTCTCACTGTTTTTATAAACCCATCAAAACTGTTTGTTTCTTTGTAAGTGGCTAAACTTACAAAATCTGCAGGGGATCAAACACTTCTTTCCTCCACTGTATATCTATAGCTTTTAAACAATGTGTGTTCTCGGTCCTAGTCCATACAGAGCTCCAGTTTGACCTCACAATAACACTACATTCATCATCCTATTATCTCTAGCAGAATCACATTATGTTACTCAATCAAAGGGTTTCTGATCGTTTAAGTTCAGTCCCATTTTGAGCAATTCCATTTTTAATACAATATTTGATATTAATGGTTAACTGTCAAGTCTGATTTAAGCAATTCAAGTACGTGACTTGTTTCTGTTCAGAGCCTGGAGTTCAGCTGGTGGGAGGAGAGAGTCGCTGTGCAGGAGAACTGGAGGTGAAACATGAGGGAGAATGGAGACCAGTGTGGAGCTATCTCTGGACCCTGAAGGCAGCAGGTGTTGCCTGCAGAGAGCTGGACTGTGGCTCTGCTGTTTCTGTGGGAGAGAGAGAGGAGTCCTCAGACAGACCTCTGTGGAGGATCAGTCCTGACTGTGCTCAGTCTGGATCTGCTCTGAGGGAGTGTGCAGTATCAGTTTCCTCTTCCTCCACCATGAATCTCACCTGCTCAGGTAAGCCCATCAGTGAAACCACCAATGACATCATCTCTCACATCTTCTAAAGGGTGCAGTAGTTCCCAGTGAATATGGAAACACTGCTTGTCTCCAAACGGCCCTCCCTGATGTGTGTATATGAAACATGTGTGCTGCTCCAGGAGTCCCCGGGGCCAACCAGTCTGAAAGGACTCCTTCTTCAGCTCCACCTCTCTCTGAGCCTCTGGGTTCCACCAGCAGGTTCTTTGGGTTCCACCATAACAGCACCAAGACCTCCTGAACACAGCTCTGATCAGCTCAGCCGGGCTCTTCAGTATCTCCACACCACATGGAGTCCTTCACCCTGGGGGGCTCCTCACATGGAGACAGTCCAGACCCTATCACTTTCACTTTTTAGAAATCATTTTCTTAACAGAGTCTCTGGTTTTCAGAAACTCTCAGAAAAGTCTTTGTGTGGAGAGCTAAGATGTTTCAGTATGTATGTGTCACAGTATCACCTCAAAATACAAGATACAAAACATGTTCAACCGTGCATCAAAATATAAATATTCCTACAAATATTTTTATTGTATTTCCTTCTTATTTTGTCTAAGCTCATAGGAGTCAGAGCAGAGGGCTGAAAGAGCCGCGGGTTGCAGACCCCTGGCTTAGCCTGATCTCCATGCAGAAAACATTTTTAAAAGAGTTCCTCTGCCGTCTTGTCTGCACACTTATCAATAACATGAATAACTGCTTTTTCTAACCAGCATCAGTATGTAGTTATTTGGGCATCATTTTGAAATGTGTATTACAATCACTGTAAAATATGTTCATTTTGTTGTTGTTTGTATCTACCATAGTATTTACATGGAGATAAGCCCCGCCTCCTCTCCAGCGCGTCCTGTTTGAATGACGCGAGTAAACACAGCTGACAGCTGCGGTGAAACTCGAGCAACTAGAGCAGGGGTCTCCAACCTTTCTTCATCTGAGAGCTACTTTCAAAAAATGAAAGTGGCCAAGAGCTACTTGCATCACATCGCTTACATTTATTCACATAGCCCTCATCAGTTGAATTAAGCTATACTTTTGTACACGTGTGAAATTGCAATACCTAAAGCTTATCAAAAATAAGGTCCAAGAAAACGAAGATTTCTCACATATTATTATGGCCCACATAATAAGTACATCACTGAACATTCACATAAGTGTCCTTAATCACCACCTTACAAGCATTTCACTCTTTTGTTAGTGAGATTAATGGCACTGCATACAGTCCACCATAGAGGTGTATGCTGGACCCACTTAGGTTCACTTAATAGAGTCATTTAAATGTTCATCAGTCGGTCTTGTTCTGTATTTAGATTTCATTCATGTCAGAAAAAGCTGCTTCACAAAGGTATGTAGAACAGAACCAAATAAAGCAGACATTTTCAGTGCTGCTTGGTGAATGTTCTTATAGTTTTCTGGGTCTACAAGGCTCCAGAAATGTTGTGAGTTTTGCTGAGACTTAAGCTGAACATTATTTTGGAGATCTCCACAGGATTGACACTGAACAGTTGTTCAGCCATCTTTTTCTTCTTCTTCTTCGTCTTGACATTAAATTATAAACCATAATAAATCAATTGTATAGGTCTAGCCTCCCTATATCTGTGTGTGAAAATGGTTCCATCCTCAAAAACAAAAAACTAATACTTCTGCAGTCTAGCTGCAGCTTCTAGCTACGGTCTTCTGTTAAAAAAAAGACACACATGACTTGAGTCTGAAAACAGCAGGAGTATTTACAATAGCATTATAAAAACAAAAATAGTGCATGTGGGTGCACACTTACATTCTCTGTCTTACTGTTACATAAATCCCATGAATGTATGAGATTAAGTTAGCTTCATCATATCTCAATCAGTGATTAAGTGAATAATAAAGTTTCTATCGGGTCACTATCAGCCTGTCACTCATTATTTTCAGGGAGGGGGCGGGGTTTGGAGGAACGGAGAGGAGACGGTGATCGCGGAAGCTTTCCTCCTGCCTTCACAAACTTTACACAAGTATTTATCAACTGAAAATAGCAAGAGGACATTCATACTCTGCAATCCAAGACTTGATTAAATCCACCAAAAACCTGACATGACGATAACGAGTGTTTTTCAAAAAACACAAATCCCTCCCTGTGTGTCTCTGAGGCGCAGCGACAGGGCCTGATTCAGAGCGGGTCATTCTGCTGTTAGTTCTGGACTCGTGCTGGTGGAGAAAGCAGACTGCTCCGTGTGTGTTGTCGCTGTGCTGCTGTCACGTCTGTTCCTTGATCTCTGCGTCACCGACCATTTGATATTCGTGTGACAGAAAAAAATCTAAAATAAAAAAACGTTATTGTCCAGCCGCGGCCGAAAAATCAATAAGCAACCTTACTACGCTATAATCGATAATCGAGCGGCGAGCTACTGAAAAGCTGCCCGCGAGCTACCGGTAGCTCGCGATCGACGTGTTGGAGAGCCCTGAACTAGAGCGATGCAAATCTTTTCAAGTCCGGTGTGAATGCAGCATTAGAGGGTATCAGATAGGTATGGGCATAGACAAATCTATGCCCATACCTGCAGCTCTCCCCTATATGAAAGTAGCTACATAAGACGCTTTTCATTTTAAAAAGTATTGGTATCGGTATCGGCGATACTGGCCCTGAAATACTTGGTATCGGATCGAATCCAGATTTTGTGGTATCGCCCACCCCTAGTATTTACATGGAGATAAGCCCCGCCTCCTCTCCAGCGCGTGCTGTTTAAATGACGCGAGTAAACACAGCTGCGGTGAAACTCGAGCAACGAGAGGGATGTGAATCTTCGCAGGTCCAGTGTGAACGCAGCATTAGAGGGTATCAGATGTAGATGTGAGGGTACCTGCAGTCTGTGCTGATATCAAGAAGTGTTCTGTTGTTCATCATGAACTCATGTTGGAACTGAGTCCAGTTTGAATCTGAAATATTCTTTCATCTCTTTTATTCTGTGTCTTTGACCTCTCTCTGTTTTATCTTCTGTCCTCTCCAGACTCTGTCAGGCTGGAGAATGGGACCAGTCAGTGCTCAGGCAGACTGGAGGTGAAGTCTAACCAGTCTGACCAGTCTAACCCGTCCTGGTCCTCAGTGTGTGAGGCTAACTTTGACCAGCAGGATGCTCAGGTGGTCTGCAGGCAGCTGGGCTGTGGGGCTCCTTCAGTCCTCCAGGGGGCGCTCTATGGAGAAGGGGAGGCTCCAATGGGGACCAAAGAGTTCCAGTGTGGAGGCCATGAGTCTGCTCTCCTGAACTGTAGCTCAGCCTCAGAGAGAAACACCTGCTCACCTGGCACAGCTGTTAGCCTCACCTGCTCAGGTAGAGAGGAGCTGTGATTGGTTCATTCTGTTCTCATCAAACTCACTTTATTCTCTCTCTGATCACTCTCTTGTTTCTCGTCGCTCTTTATAACTGCTTATTGTGTGGAGCCCCAGACCGAGGGCCAGTGATGCTCATTCTGTGTTTCATCCATTTAGAAACACACACATTATTAGTGTGAATGCTGTGCCTAGCATTCCACTATAGTACTTCAAATCTTTATTCTTTCCGCTTATTATTATTTCAGACAATACTTTGGCTCTCCATAACTTCAGCTTATTTTCAGCTACAGAAACCATTCAAATATCAAACTATTCAGCCTGTTCAGGAATCGATGGGAAACCTTCAACTTTAAAAAAATATGTTATACCTTTTGAAATATTCAGCTTTTTAAACTCTTTTTTTTAACATTGAAGTCAATGGGAGATGCCTTCAAATCCTCTTTTCCTACACTTTGCGCCAAATGCTTCTCCTTCCACATACTTTCAGCTAGACACTTCATTCCAACTTTCAAATGATCACAACACCTTCAGCTATAAAATGTTATTCAGATTCTTCATATCTTTTACACTTCTTGAGATATTTAACTTAGTTTGGAGCTTGGTAAAGAGGCTTTCTTCAGATTTTAACATTAGTGTGGATGGAGCAGCTCGTTAAGTCTAGAGTGCTTTGATCTCAAAACAGAGTGCAGCAGTGCTCCCAAAAAAATGTTTTAAACCTGCCATAATTCCCAAACCCTACACTCCTCAGACATATTTTTACATGAAAAACGTAGGAAAACCTCTCCTAGGTTGGGAAATTAAAAAAAAATTAAGAAAAAATATTAAACAAAATGCCTCTTGAGGGCATGAAGTGACAAAAAGTCCACCTAGCTCCCAATTGATTCCCATGTTAAATCTTTCCGGAACTTTCTTCAGAACAGAAAGAAGTACACTTTAGACAAACTGCTCCCATCTCCACATTTTACACACAAAACAAAAAAAAACAACATATATCAGTTCATTGGGGTTCCCTGATGCTCACGGTCTGGTCATTTTTTGATAGGAGCCATAGTTTTTGAACAGGTGGCAAAATTGTCAGATATAATCCTCAATGCATTCTTAATGGGACTCAGTGCTGCAGTTGGTCAATCGTCATAAGTCGTCACCATGGTAACCTTTCATCTCTGGGTTTACACACACAGGTGTTTGTAAACATTCATTCACTACTACTTACATTTAATATCTTTATTTAACTCCTTGAGCCTAATTTCAGCTGCAGGAACCATTCAAATATCAAACTATTCAGCCTTTTCAGCACATGATGGGGAAACTTACAACTTTTTCAAAATATGTTATACTTTTTAAAACATTCAGCTTTTTAAAGTCTTTTTTTAACATGGAAGTCATTGCAATGCATTTGAGCTGTAACAATTCACACACACACACACACACACACACACACACACACACACACACACACACACACACACACACACACACACACACACACACACACACTCTCCCTCTCTCTCACAGACACATCAAGAGAAGAGAGAGAGGGCGATCAAGAGAAGTGAGAGAGGGTGATAGAAGAGTGATAGGGTGATCAAGAGAAGAGAGAGGGCGATCAAGAGGAGAGAGAGAGGGCGATCAAGAGAAGAGAGAGAGGGCGATCAAGAGGAGAGAGAGAGGGCGATCAAGAGGAGAGAGAGAGGGCGATCAAGAGAAGAGAGAGAGGGCGATCAAGAGGAGAGAGAGTGGGCGATCAAGAGGAGAGAGAGTGGGCGATCAAGAGGAGAGGGAGAGGGCGATCAAGAGGAGAGAGAGAGAGCGATCAAGAGGAGAGAGAGAGGGCGATCAAGAGGAGAGAGAGAGGGCGATCAAGAGAAGAGAGAGAGGGCGATCAAGAGGAGAGAGAGAGGGCGATCAAGAGGAGAGAGAGAGGGCGATCAAGAGAAGAGAGAGAGGGCGATCAAGAGGAGAGAGAGTGGGCGATCAAGAGGAGAGAGAGTGGGCGATCAAGAGGAGAGGGAGAGGGCGATCAAGAGGAGAGAGAGAGAGCGATCAAGAGGAGAGAGAGAGGGCGATCAAGAGGAGAGAGAGAGGGCGATCAAGAGGAGAGAGAGTGGGCGATCAAGAGGAGAGAGAGAGGGCGATCAAGAGGAGAGGGAGAGGGCAATCAAGAGGAGAGAGAGAGGGCGATCAAGAGAAGAGAGAGACGGCGATCAAGAGAAGAGAGAGAGGGCGATCAAGAGAAGAGAGAGAGGGCGATCAAGAGGAGAGAGAGAGGGCGATCAAGAGAAGAGAGAGGGCGATCAAGAGAAGAGAGAGAGGGGCGAGCAAGAGAAGAGAGAGAGAAGAGAGAGAGGGCGAGCAAGAGAAGAGAGAGAGGGCGATCAAGAGGAGAGAGAGAGGGCGATCAAGAGAAGAGAGAGGGCGATCAAGAGAAGAGAGAGAGGGCGAGCAAGAGAAGAGAGAGAGAAGAGAGAGAGGGCGATCAATAGAAGAGAGAGAGTAATGTAACCTCCTAATGTAATGTATAACTCCTATGAAAATATTCAAAAAGTGCTCAAACTTCACATGTGTGCTAACAGTCCAGCCGTGAACACATCTACGGGACAGTTTTGAGATTTCTTCAAATGCCGTTGCCATGGCAACACAATGCTCAACATGAAACACGGTTTTCTCATAGCTTCAGTGAAAATGCTCGAAATGGCCCAAAACTTCACAGATTTGGTAACGATGCAGCCATCAACACATCTAAGCGTATTATGGGGTGTCATCAAATGCCGTTGCCATGGCGACAGATAATTCACCATCAAGTTAGTTCAAAAGTTTGTAGTTCAAATATTCTGCTGCTTTCCCAAGCCTTTTTACTTTCTTTTCTCATCTTAATACAAATTAATTCACTACTACTTACATCTGATATTTAACTCCTTCAGCCTATTTTCAGCTGCAGAAACCATTCAACTATTACATTATTCAGCTTTTTCTGCATTTTCAGCTAAATTCAGCCACAAATGTTCACAGTTTACAGCATTCACACGCATTTTCTGCAGGAAATGCATTTTCTAGTTCTCACAGTGGTCTACTCCTCACCGAGCTGCTTTCTGGTGGTCCTGCAGCCGATCCCAGCCTTGAGCAGGTCTACAATATGGTCCCTGAGGTCCTTAGAGAGCTCTTTAGTCTGGCCCATGGTGGAGAGAATCTGATTGATAGATTCTGTGGACAGGTGTCTTTTCTACAGGTAACAAGTTGATATTAGGAGTACTTTTTTAAAAGAAGAGGACTTATGTAGCCGGTCTGTGGGAGCCACAGTTAAATGCAAATACATTTTAATCTTTTATATAATGTCAATTTCTGGATTTTCTTTTTGATATTCTTACTCTCACTGTTTTTATAAACCTACCTATAAAACTGTTTGTTTCTTTGTAAGTGGGTAAACTTACAAAATCTGCAGGGGATCAAATACTTCTTTCCTCCACTGTATATCTATAGCTTTTAAACAACGTGTGTTCTCGGTCCTGGTCCATACAGAGCTCCAGTTTGACCTCACAATAACACTACATTCATCATCCTATTGTCTCTATGATAGCAGGTGCTCCCAATAATCACATTCTGTTACTCAATCAAAGGGTTTCTGATCGTTTAAATTCAGTCCCATTTTGAGCAATTCCATTTTTAATACAATATTTGATATTAATGGTTAATTGTCACGTCTGATTTAAACAATTAAAGTACGTGACTTGTTTCTGTTCAGAGCCTCAATTTCAGCTGGTGGGAGGAGAGAGTCGCTGTGCAGGAGAACTGGAGGTGAAACATCTGGGAGAATGGAGAGCAGTGGAGGGCTATCTCTCTCCCTGGACCCCGAAGACAGCAGGTGTTGCCTGCAGAGAGCTGGACTGTGGCTCTGCTGTTTCTGTAGCAATGAGATATGTGTCCTCATACAGACCTGTGTGGATGATCAGTCCTGACTGTGCTCAGTCTGGATCTGCTCTGAGGGAGTGTGCAAGATCATTTTCTTCTCCCTTCATCATCACTCTCACCTGCTCAGGTAAGCCCATCAGTGAAACCACCAATGACATAATCTCTCACATCTTCTAAAGCAGGGGTCTCCAACCTTTCTTCATCTGAGAGCTACTTTCAAAAAATGAAAGTGGCCAAGAGCTACTTGCATCACATCGCTTACATTTATTCACATAGCCCTCATCAGTTGAATTAAGCTATACTTTTGTACACGTGTGAAATTGCAATACCTAAAGCTTATCAAAAATAAGGTCCAAGAAAACGAAGATTTCTCACATATTATTATGGCCCACATAATAAGTACATCACTGAACATTCACATAAGTGTCCTTAATCACCACCTTACAAGCATTTCACTCTTTTGTTAGTGAGATTAATGGCACTGCATACAGTCCACCATAGAGGTGTATGCTGGACCCACTTAGGTTCACTTAATAGAGTCATTTAAATGTTCATCAGTCGGTCTTGTTCTGTATTTAGATTTCATTCATGTCAGAAAAAGCTGCTTCACAAAGGTATGTAGAACAGAACCAAATAAAGCAGACATTTTCAGTGCTGCTTGGTGAATGTTCTTATAGTTTTCTGGGTCTACAAGGCTCCAGAAATGTTGTGAGTTTTGCTGAGACTTAAGCTGAACATTATTTTGGAGATCTCCACAGGATTGACACTGAACAGTTGTTCAGCCATCTTTTTCTTCTTCTTCTTCGTCTTGACATTAAATTATAAACCATAATAAATCAATTGTATAGGTCTAGCCTCCCTATATCTGTGTGTGAAAATGGTTCCATCCTCAAAAACAAAAAACTAATACTTCTGCAGTCTAGCTGCAGCTTCTAGCTACGGTCTTCTGTTAAAAAAAAGACACACATGACTTGAGTCTGAAAACAGCAGGAGTATTTACAATAGCATTATAAAAACAAAAATAGTGCATGTGGGTGCACACTTACATTCTCTGTCTTACTGTTACATAAATCCCATGAATGTATGAGATTAAGTTAGCTTCATCATATCTCAATCAGTGATTAAGTGAATAATAAAGTTTCTATCGGGTCACTATCAGCCTGTCACTCATTATTTTCAGGGAGGGGGCGGGGTTTGGAGGAACGGAGAGGAGACGGTGATCGCGGAAGCTTTCCTCCTGCCTTCACAAACTTTACACAAGTATTTATCAACTGAAAATAGCAAGAGGACATTCATACTCTGCAATCCAAGACTTGATTAAATCCACCAAAAACCTGACATGACGATAACGAGTGTTTTTCAAAAAACACAAATCCCTCCCTGTGTGTCTCTGAGGCGCAGCGACAGGGCCTGATTCAGAGCGGGTCATTCTGCTGTTGGTTCTGGACTCGTGCTGGTGGAGAAAGCAGACTGCTCCGTGTGTGTTGTCGCTGTGCTGCTGTCACGTCTGTTCCTTGATCTCTGCGTCACCGACCATTTGATATTCGTGTGACAGAAAAAAATCTAAAATAAAAAAACGTTATTGTCCAGCCGCGGCCGAAAAATCAATAAGCAACCTTACTACGCTATAATCGATAATCGAGCGGCGAGCTACTGAAAAGCTGCCCGCGAGCTACCGGTAGCTCGCGATCGACGTGTTGGAGAGCCCTGTTCTAAAGGGTCCAGTAGTTCCCAGTGAATATGGAAACACTGTTTGTCTCCAAACGGCCCTCCCTGATGTGTGTATATGAAACATGTGTGCTGCTCCAGGAGTCCCCGGGGCCAACCAGTCTGAAAGGACTCCTTCTTCAGCTCCACCTCTCTCTGAGCCTCTGGGTTCCACCAGCAGGTTCTTTGGGTTCCACCATAACAGCACCAAGACCTCCTGAACACAGCTCTGATCAGCTCAGCCGGGCTCTTCAGTATCTCCACACCACATGGAGTCCTTCACCCTGGGGGGCTCCTCACATGGAGACAGTCCAGACCCTATCACTTTCACTTTTTAGAAATCATTTTCTTAACAGAGTCTCTGGTTTTCAGAAACTCTCAGAAAAGTCTTTGTGTGGAGAGCTAAGATGTTTCAGTATGTATGTGTCACAGTATCACCTCAAAATACAAGATACAAAACATGTTCAACCGTGCATCAAAATATAAATATTCCTCCAAATATTTGTATTGTATTTCCTTCTTATTTTGTCTAAGCTCATAGGAGTCAGAGCAGAGGGCTGAAAGAGCCGCGGGTTGCAGACCCCTGGCTTAGCCTGATCTCCATGCAGAAAACATTTTTAAAAGAGTTCCTCTGCCGTCTTGTCTGCACACTTATCAATAACATGAATAACTGCTTTTTCTAACCAGCATCAGTATGTAGTTATTTGGGCATCATTTTGAAATGTGTATTACAATTACTGTAAAATATGTTCATGTTGTTGTTGTTTGTATCTACCATAATATTTACATGGAGGTAAGCCCCGCCTCCTCTCCAGCACGTCCTGTTTGAATGACGCGAGTAAAAACAGCTGACAGCTGCGGTGAAACTCAAGCAACTAGAGCGATGCAAATCTTCGCAGATCCGGTGTGAATGCAGCATTAGAGGGTATCAGATGTAGATGTGAGGGTACCTGCAGTCTGTGTTGATATCAAGAAGTGTTCTGTTGTTCATCATGAACTCATGTTGGAACTGAGTCCAGTTTGAATCTGAAATATTGTTTCATCTCTTTTATTCTGTGTCTTTGACCTCTCTCTGTTTGATCTTCTGTCCTCTCCAGACTCTGTCAGGCTGCTGGGGGGGACCAGTCTGTGCTCAGGTAGACTGGAGGTGAACTCTGACCCGTCTAACCCGTCCTGGTCCTCAGTGTGTGAGGCTGACTTTGACCAGCAGGATGCTCAGGTGGTCTGCCGGCAGCTGGGCTGTGGGGCTCCTTCAGTCCTCCAGGGGGCGCTCTATGGAGAAGGGGAGGCTCCAATGGGGACCAAAGAGTTCCAGTGTGGAGGCCATGAGTCTGCTCTCCTGGACTGTAGCTCAGCCTCAGAGAGAAACACCTGCTCACCTGGCACAGCTGTTAGCCTCACCTGCTCAGGTAGAGAGGAGCTGTGATTGGTTCATTCTGTTCTCATCAAACTCACTTTATTCTCTCTCTGATCACTCTCTTGTTTCTCTTCAGAGCCTGATGAGGTCAGACTGGTTGGAGGAGAGAGTCGCTGTGCAGGAGACCTGGAGGTGAAACATCAGGGAGGAGAATGGAGACCAGTGGGGGGCTTGTACTCTCTCTGGACCCTGAAGGCAGCAGGTGTTCTCTGCAGAGATCTCGACTGTGGCTCTGCTGTTTCTGTGGAAGAGAGAGAGTCCTCATGGAGATCTGTGTGGAGGATCAGCTCTGCCTGTGTTCAGTCTGGATCTGCTCTGAGGGAGTGTGCAGGATCAGCTTCCTCTTCCTCCACCGTGAATCTCACCTGCTCAGGTAAGCCCACCAATGACATCATCTCTCACATCTTCTAAAGGGTGCAGTAGTTCCCAGTGAATATGGAAACACTGCTTGTCTCCAAACGGCCCTCCCTGGTGTGTGTATATGAAACATGTGTGCTGCTCCAGGAGTCCCCGGGGCCAACCAGTCTGAAAGGACTCCTTCTTCAGCTCCACCTCTCTCTGAGCCACTGGTTTAGTTATAGATAGATAGATAGATAGATAGATAGATAGATGGATAGATGGATAGATGGATAGATGGATAGATAGATAGATACTTCATTCATCCCAAATTGTGAAATGTGTGGAAACAAGTATAAAAATAATAACATTAAACACAAATAAAAGCAATAGAAAGGAATATATTATGCATATACAGTAGAAAGGTCACAATGAATATTATAACATTTAATGTAGCCTTACTATGAAGGCTAACCTAAATACAGTGCTTTTCTACAGATGACCTTATCTGCACTGGTAAGGTAAAACTAGGCCGATTAATAAGATGTGAAGTGCTTTGTAACTTTGACCCGCTTGACTGAATACACAAAAAAAATGAAGAAAGTTGAACCAATAAACTAACACAAACTAACTGTATCACTATAACATGATGATGATGGTGATGAAGAATGCATCTAACGTTCCGCTGTTCATTAAAAAAACAGCGCATTAAACAAACCATCATGCTCTTACTTTGAAATCATGCGGAAATGTCGTCATCAGCAGGCCATCACGTGGTTTCCGAAAATAACCGAATGACACGAGTAGATTTTAGCCGAGACCGGCGGAAAGTTTGTCTCAAAACTCCGTGTGTGTAAAAAGACGATCCACGAGCAGAGATTTGAGATCCGCAAGCGCATTTTTGGTTGACAAATACAAAATGGATTCACAAATGCCTGATCGAAAGTTGTCAATGTTAAAGAGATATTCACAGATCTTTTTTTTATTTGTGAAAATATTTTGCGCATTTGCATATCCGTTTTACATTTGCAAATTTATTTGTGAGTTTGCAAATCTTTTAAATGCATTTGTGGATGGTGTTTTACATTTACAAATCACATATTTACACACAAATGATTTTTCTGTTCACACAAATAATGATGAGACATATCTATGCCCATACCTGCAGCTCTCCCCTATATGAAAGTAGCTACATAAGACGCTTTTCATTTTAAAAAGTATTGGTATCGGTATCGGCGATACTGGCCCTGAAATACTTGGTATCGGATCGAATCCAGATTTTGTGGTATCGCCCACCCCTAGTATTTACATGGAGATAAGCCCCGCCTCCTCTCCAGCGCGTGCTGTTTAAATGACGCGAGTAAACACAGCTGCGGTGAAACTCGAGCAACGAGAGGGATGTGAATCTTCGCAGGTCCAGTGTGAACGCAGCATTAGAGGGTATCAGATGTAGATGTGAGGGTACCTGCAGTCTGTGCTGATATCAAGAAGTGTTCTGTTGTTCATCATGAACTCATGTTGGAACTGAGTCCAGTTTGAATCTGAAATATTGTTTCATCTCTTTTATTCTGTGTCTTTGACCTCTCTCAGTTTTATCTTCTGTCCTCTCCAGACTCTGTCAGGCTGCTGGGGGGGACCAGTCTGTGCTCAGGTAGACTGGAGGTGAACTCTGACCAGTCTAACCCGTCCTGGTCCTCAGTGTGTGAGGCTGACTTTGACAAACTCACTTTATTCTCTCTCTGATCACTCTCTTGTTTCTCTTCAGAGCCTGATGAGGTCAGACTGGTGGGAGGAGAGAGTCGCTGTGCAGGAGACCTGGAGCTGAAACATCAGGGAGAATGGAGACCAGTGGGGGGCTATTACTCTCTCTGGACCCTGAAGACAGCAGGTGTTGCCTGCAGAGAGCTGGACTGTGGCTCTGCTGTTTCTGTGGGACAGAGAATAGAGTCCCCAGGCAGATCTGTGTGGGGGATCAGCTTTGACTGTGTACAGTCTGGATCTGCTCTGAGGGAGTGTGCAGGATCAGGTTCCTCTGACGACATCCTCAATCTCACCTGCTCAGGTAAGCCCAACAGTGACATCATCTATGACATCAGTTCATCTGTCTCTTTGTTAGTCACGTCCTTTTTTCCGAGGCCATTTTGTTGAAGGTGAATGTGTGTGTGTGTGTGTGTGTGTGGTGTGTGTGTGTGTGTGTGTGTGTGTGTGTGTGTGTGTGTGTGTGTGTGTGTGTATACATATTGGGCAGCAAGATGTGCCTTGTCTCCTTCTCCTAGGAGTATTTTCAGTCTTGAGAGCTCTCTCTCTCTCTCTTCATCTCTCTCTCTCATCTCTCTCTCTCTCTCTCTCCTCCTCTCTCTCCATTCTCTCATCCTCTCTCTCTCCTCTCTCTCCTCTCTCGAGTCATTAACCTCCTTGAAAACCTGGAATTACAGGGTTCAACTTGTTTCAGTAAATGTTCCTTATTTCGTTGAATGTTTGGCACTTTAGGAGGAAGTGCATCTCTGTCTCAGTCTCACCTGTCGTACAGTGACCACATATTCTGTTTTCTTTTGGTTGCCAGGATCTTTTGAGTCTTCCTGTTGCCAGTCTGTGGTCAATGAGCCTGTGCTTGGTTAGGATCTGTCTCTGCTTTCTATCTCTGACAGTAGAGAGATATTCTGCCAGCTCATAATCTCTGTTTAGAGCCAGGTAACATTCTAATCTACTTTGGCTTCTAGTTTCTTCTTTCCAATGTTGTAAATAGTTGTGTTTACATTGTGTTATAATGCGTTTGACTGTGATTGGTGTTTGGAGAGCAGTGTTGTTGAGAGACTGGTCAGAGTGGCTGTGAGAGGGGGCAGTTAGCCTCAGCACCAGCTGACATAGGGGACTCTTCTCTGGGGTTAGCTCTTGGCTTTGGAGAGGAGGGTGTCTCGGGGGCTGGATCCAAGGTGGTTAAAGAATGTTAGTGCTCTCTTTTGAGTGTTAATGATCAGAGGGTATCTGCCTCATTCTGCTCTACATGCATTTGTTGGTGTTTTTCTCTGAACACGTCAAATGTATCTGCAGAATTCTACATGTAAAGACTCTGTTGGATGTTTGTCCCAGCGGATATAGCTCTGGTGACTGAGTGGACCCCATACTTCACTACCGTACAGCGCAATGGGCTGGATCACACTATCAAATATTTTAAGCCAGATTTTAATTGGAATTTGGAAATGATCAAATGTTCTCTTCATTGCATTTAGAGCTCTTCTGGCTTTTTCTTTGAGTGCATTCACTGCCATGTTGAAACTTCCTGATGCTGTTATGGTTAAACCAAGGTAGGTATAACTCATACTATGTTCAATGATATGATTATTTATGGTAAACTGGTATTTGTTCTCCTGACATCTGGGGTGTTTTTGGAAAACCATGACATTAGTTTTCTTCATATTGACTGCCAGGGCCCAGTTCTTACAGTACTGGTCTACTATGTCCAGCTGTTGTTGTAGTCCTTGTTCAGTAGGAGACAGCAGAACAAGGTCATCAGCATAAAGCAGACACTTCACTCTCTCTCTCTCTCTCTCTCTATCTCTCTCTATCTCTCTCTATCTTCTCTCTCTCTCTCTTCTCTCTCTCTCTCTCTCTCTCTCTCTTCTCTCTCTCTCTATCTCTCTCTCTCTCTCTCCAGATCTGCTGTTTTCTCAGCCCACATCTCTGTTCCTCCTCCACGTACGGGGTCTCCGGGGTCCAGCAGCAGGGGTTCCAGGTGTTCAGGCTCCACCTTCACCATCAGCTGCTCCTCCAGCCACATACCCAGGAGGCCCTTCCAGCTCAACTTCACCTCCAACAACTCAGCAAACAAATACTACTCAGAGCCAGCTGTCAATCACTCTGCCCACTTCCTGTTTCCTTCTGCAGAGCCCGCCCACCAGGGAAGCTACAGCTGTGTTTTCACCTCTTTGTTTTTTCTCATAACTTCTCTTCTCCTCTGAGAGCCGTCTGCTCTCCGTCTCCGTCACAGGTGAGCTGTTACAGTTTATAAGGCTATATAAAGTAAATATATATAATACGCTGGTTATCTGAGAGTAAGTGTTTTACTACTGAACCGGTCCATGAAGCAGTCGCACCCATTACATTACATTTGATTTGACTGTCACTTTTGTCCAAATGACTTGAAAATTCAGAACAACAAGAATCCAGCAGAACCTGGACCAGAACCTGGACCAGAACCTGGACCAGAACCTCTCCTTCAGTCAGGGTTCATGGTCCTGGTCTCGTGCACAAGGCCTCTTTGTTTCATCTGTTGTGTTTTCTCACTGTCGGTTGGTTCTCCAGTGAAGTCTAGTCTACATTAGAGTCTGGACCTGAGTACTGACTGCTGGATGTAAGAGAGACAGCAGCTTCTCCTACGGTCTGGAAACATGTCAGGCCACATATTAAAGTCTCACCAGAGGCCACATCAGAGAGAGAGGAGTCTCCATGCTGAAGTGGCTTCAGGGTTCAGGTCTCTACAGAGTGTTTGCTGACTTCTAGAGTCTTCTTCTGGAAGACTTTGTCTTTTTCTTCCCAAGTGTTTGAAGTATGACGCTTTATGCGCCCACAAAATGTCCCAGTTCATCAGGATACCAGGACTCCCTGGACAACTTATTATTTCCTTCACATATTTTTCCACCACCAACCGGTTGATTGTCTAATCAGTTCTCAGTTTATATTGGAGTATCAACATGAGTACTATCAGTTTTAATGTAACTAATACAGCTATGTATTATAAATGGACTCCATGCTGCAGTGATTTCAGGTTCAGGTCTCTACAGAGGTGTTTGCTGACTCTTGATGTGATGCTTGTCCATGTATTCCCTCAGATCCAGGACCTTTCATCATCGAGCCGTCGTCCTGCTCCTGGACTCTGCTGGCTGGTGACCGTCCGGCCTTTACTTCTACTGTAAGGTACGGGAAAACATGTTGTTGTTCCACCACTGACTAAATGATGAGGTACTGAAACATGTTGTTGGTTCCACTGACTGAATGATGAGGTACTGAAACATGTTGTTGTTCCACCACTGACTGAATGATGAGGTATCATGAAAACATGTTGTTGTTCCACCACTGACTGAATGATGAGGTACTGAAACATGTTGTTGTTCCACTGACTGAATGATGAGGTACTGAAACATGTTGTTGTTCCACTGACTGAATGATGAGGTACTGAAACATGTTGTTGTTCCACTGACTGAATGATGAGGTACTGAAACATGTTGTTGTTCCACCACTGACTGAATGATGAGGTACTGAAACATGTTGTTGTTCCACCACTGACTGAATGATGAGGTACTGAAACATGTTGTTGTTCCACCACTGACTGAATGATAAGGTACTGAAACATGTTGTTGTTCCACCACTGACTGAATGGACTGAAACATGTTGTTGTTCCACTGACTGAATGATGAGGTACTGAAACATGTTGTTGTTCCACCACTGACTGAATGATGAGGTACTGAAACATGTTGTTGTTCCACTGACTGAATGATGAGGTACTGAAACATGTTGTTGTTCCACCACTGACTGAATGATGAGGTACTGAAACATGTTGTTGTTCCACTGACTGAATGATGAGGTACTGAAACATGTTGTTGTTCCACTGACTGAATGATGAGGTACTGAAACATGTTGTTGTTCCACTGACTGAATGATGAGGTACTGAAACATGTTGTTGTTCCACTGGACTGATGAGGTACTGAAACATGTTGTTGTTCCACTGACTGAATGATGAGGTACTGAAACATGTTGTTGTTCCACTGACTGAATGATGAGGTACTGAAACATGTTGTTGTTCCACTGACTGAATGATGAGGTACTGAAACATGTTGTCGTTCCACACTGACTGAATGAAACAGTGTGTGTTATTGAACAGGAGTGATGCAGGAAGTCTCATCTATGTGTCATGTCTCTCCAGGCCACCAGGGGGCGGAGGCCGAGCCGACTGGAGGACATTGAGCTGGATTATGAGGACATTGAGCCGGTTTATGATAACCTGGATATTCCTGCAGAAGAGGAAGGAGCTCCGGGAGCAGAGTAGCAGCTCCAAAGACCTCGGGTGTTTCTCAATCGCGAGTACGCTTGCTTGGTAGGCACATGTCTGCCGAGCATCTTGCTTCAGAAGCGAGTCAAGAATACTTCCTGGCATTCGGAAAACGAAGTGTGGAACACGCTAGCAAGTGTGCAGGTGTGCGTCATATGAGAGGCCCCGCCTTACATCTTCCGCCACAGATTTGGGGAAATTGGTCCGTGCGCAAAGCATTGTGGGGATTTTAAGACCGCGGAGTCTACTCATGTGCAGCCTCGATATTTCTCCAAACGGGAGTACGCCGGGCTCGGTAGATTTCCAAGTATGCTGGAGATTGGAACAGTACTTTCGGCGGCACTCGATGACGTAGTATGCTTGAAATAGTGGCTCTGCAGCAGCTTTACTCGCGATTGAGAAACACCCACCCTCTCACACACACACACACACACACACACACACACACACACACACACACACACACACACCATCAATATGTCTTTTCTCACTTCCTGTCAGCTCCAAGCCCATTGGTTCCTTCTGAAGACGTAGATCTTTAACAACTCACACATTTGGTTGAATTTGAAAAGTCAAAGCAGTCGGTGCAGTTTTGAAACCAAAGACACAGCAACCCGGCTGAATAATGTTATATGTTTAATAAAACTAGTCAAATATCCTCTGAAATCTACATTGCAATACCTGATGCCAATGAGTCCAGAGAGAACAGGAGAAAGGTGTTACAGCGCCACCTGCTGGTGGAGTTGAGCACATCGAGAGTTGGTGTTTTTCATTTCTTTTTTATTTTCAACAAGCATTCAAAGCTCAGTTTTATAAAATGGTGTGAGAAGTTTAGCCAGAAATGTTGCTTGAAAAATTATTATAATACAAATTTTAAAAAAAAATGAATACTTCCAACGCTTTTTCGTGTTTAAAGATTTCAGAGTATTTTTGACATTTTTGCAATTAACAAATTGTTTTTTATTCATAAGAAGTTTTGCTTTGAAGTCATTTGTTTTAATTGATTTTAATTTGTTAAAATAAATGTTTTTATATTAAATGAAGTCCTATTTGCTGAGCTTAGTTTTGTAATCAAGATTTGCGCTTATTATATATCGTTAAGGATTTGTTTTATTTGAGTTGTAATTCATTTTGATATTATGTGGTTGTGATTGTTTGTGGGGGCTTTTTAAGAATTCTGCCCATTTTTGTATTTTGCCCTTTTCCTTAAATCCATAAGACTTTTGCCTGATTTAGTCATTAAAACATCCTCCTAACTTACAAGTATTTTGCCCCGTGTGGTAATCAGCAAGACATTTAATTAGTGTTGTAAATAAAAAAAGATTCCTATTTTCCAAGTATTGAGATTGTGTTGTAATCAGGAATTGTGTTTATTACATAAAAGTTCATTGATTTCATTTATTAAGAATTGTGCTTCATTTTGTGAAGAAATATTTAGTTTTTTTTCTTTTTAGTAAATGGCCGTTCCTATGATCCGTTTGCTTAATGTTGTATCACACGTCGTCTACTATGTGACCAAAAAAAACAAAAAATAAACTACTTTAATAATCCAGAAAGCTCTGTGGATATTATTCATGGTTTTCTTACTTGTTGGAATGTTTTCTTTAAACTTTCTTTGAATTTGCCATATAATATATCATATCAGATATAATTACTCTGCATGACCCCCAATATCATATTATGTATTTATTGTTACAACCCAGACACAAAATGATTTTAGTACTGGGTCTAACCTGCTAATCTTTGGTTGTATTTATGGTAAATAATATAGTCAAATAATTACTCTGCATGACCCCCCCTGTTTGGTTCAGAGAGGAGACTGAACTGCATACATTTATATCATATTTAACTACCTACCTACCTACCTACCTACCTACCTACCTCTAAACATTTACAATCAAACAGTTTAACCTCTCAGATTAAAGGTGGGGTAGGTAAGTTGAGAAACCGGCTCGAGATCGCTAGAATTTGAAAAATACACAACCGGAGAAAATCTGCCAATTCCTTAACAGAGCCCCTCCTCCAACACACACGAACGAGCACATGACCAATGAGGGCACGAGATAAGTTTGTGCACAGATGGAAGGCTGACAGGCAGTTAGGGCCATCCAGTTATTTTAGCCGGGCCGGCTCAGATGATTGGTCGTGCTTTTTTACAGATACTACAGCTTCCACAGATGATGTTTTATTTATGGATTTGTTGTCAAAGCACTTCAGATATTCATTGCTATCATGGATGTTAAGAGCATTCCATGGAATATAACACAAGTGTATCTCGAGCCGGTTTCTCAAACGTACCTACCCCACCTTTAAACTACTTGTTTCAGATCCAGTACAAACGATATCTTTTTGATCAGCTGCTTTTTATTTGTTTTTTACAAAAGAAGTTTAAATAAAAATCCTCCCACAGGTGAAGCTCCAGACGCTTCCTTCAAACGGTCCTCTCGGGATCCAGCTGTGTGTGTGTGTGTGTGTGTGTGTGTGTGTGGGTGTGTGTGTGTGT